GCCTGATTGCTCTGGCTAGAACTTCTAGTACTATATTGAATAGGAATGGTGAGAGAGGGCATCCTTGTCTAGTACCACATTTCACGGGGAATGCTTCCAGTTTTTGCCCATTCAGTATGATATTGGCTGTTGGTTTGTCATAAGTAACTTTTATTATTCTGAGATATGTTCCGTCAATATGTAGCTTATTGAGGGTTTTTAGCATAAAGGGCTGTTGAATTTTGTCAAAGGCTTTCTTTGCATGAATTGAGATAATCATGTGGTTTTTGTCTTTGGTTCTGTTTGTGTGGTGAATTATGTTTATAGACTTACGTATATTGAACCAGCCTTGCATTCCCGGGAGGAAGCCTACTTGATCATGGTGGATAAGCTTTTTGATGTGCTGTTGCAATCGGCTTGTCAGTATTTTGTTGAAGATTTTTGCATCTATGTTCATCACGGATATTGGCCTGAAGTTTTCTTTTCTTGTTGAGTCTCTGCCGGGTTTTGGAATCAGGATGATGTTGGTCTCATAAAATGATTTGGGAAGAATTTCCTCTTTTTGTATTGTTTGGAATAGTTTCAGAAGGAATGGTACCAGCTCCTCTTTGTATGTCTGGTAGAATTCCGCTGTGAACTCGTCTGGACCTGGGCTTTTTTTGGGTGGTAAGCTCTTAATTGCTGCCTGAACTTCAGACCTTGTTATGGGTCTGTTCAGGGTTTCGGCTTCTTCCTGGTTTAGGCTTGGGAGGAGGTAAGTATCCAGGAATTTATCCATTTCTTCCAGGTTTACTAGTTTATGTGCATAAGTTGTTTGTAATAATCTCTGATGATGGTTTGAATTTCTGTTGAATCTGTGGTGATATCCCCTTTATCATTTTTTATTGCATCAATTCAGTTATTCTCTCTTTTCTTTTATATTAATCTGGCTAGTCGTCTGTCTATTTTGTTGATGTTTTCAAAAAACCAGCTCCTGGATTTATTGATTTTTTAAAGGGTTTTTTGTGTCTCTATCTCCTTCAGTTCTGCTCTGATCTTAGCTATTTCTTGTCTTCTACTAGACTTTGAGTTTTTTTGATCTTGTTCCTCTAGCTCTTTCAGTTTTGATAATAGGGTGTCAATTTTTGATCTGTCCTTGCTTCTCATGTGGGCACTTATTGCTATATATTTTCCTCTACAGACTGCTTTAAATGTGTCCCAGAGATTCTGGAATGTTATGTCTTCATTCTCGTTGGTTTCGAAGAACATCTTTATTTCTGTCTTCATTTCATTGTTTATCCAGTCAACATTCAAGAGCAAGTTCTTCAGTTTCCATGAAGCCGTGCAGTTCTGGGCTAGTTTTTGAATTCTGAGTTGTAACTTGATTGCACTGTGGTGTGAGAGAGTGTTTGTTATGATTTCCATTCTTTTGCATTTGCTGAGGAGTGATTTACTCCCAATTATGTGGTCAATTTTATAGTAGGTGTGATGTGGTGTTGAGAAGAATGTATATTCTGTGGATTTGGGGTGGAGAGTTCCGTAAATGTCTATTAGGTTTGCTTGGTCCAGGTCTGAGTTCAAGTCCTGGATATCCTTGTTAATTTTCTGTCTGGTTGATCTGTCTAATATTGACAATGGGGTGTTAAAGTCTCCCACTATAATTGTGTGGGAGTCTAAGTCTCTTTTTAAGTCATTATGAACTTGCCTTATGTATCTGGGTGCTCCTGTATTGGTGCGTATATATTTAGGATCGTTAGCTCTTCTTGTTGCATTGATCCTTTTATCATTATGTAATGTCCTTCTTTGTCTCTTTTGATCTTTGTTGCTTTAAAATCTAATTTATCAGAGTTGAGAATTGCAACTCCTGCTTTTTTTTGCTCTCCATTTGCTTGGTAAATCTTCCTCCATCCCTTTGTTTTGAGCCTTTGTGTATCCTTGCATGTGAGATGGGTTTCCTGGATACAGCCCACCGATGGGTTTTGGCTTTTTATCCAATTTGCCAGTCTGTGTCTTTTGATTGGGGCATTTAGTCCATTTACATTTAAGGTTAATATTGTTGTGTGCGAATTTGATACTGCCATTTTGGTGCTAGCTGGGTGTTTTGCCCTTTAGTTGAGCTGGTACTTGTTGTTCCTTTATATGTGTAGAGCCTCTTTCAGGAGCTCTTGTAGAGCTGGCCTGGTGGTGACGAAATCTCTGAGTACTTGCATGTTCCCAAAGGATTTTATTTTTCCTTCACTTATGAAGCTTAGTTTGGCTGGATAGGAGATTCTGGGTTGAAAATTCTTTTCTTTAGGTTGTTGAATATTGGCCCCCATTGTCTTCTGGCTTGTAGGGTTTCTGCTGAGAGATCTGCTGTGAGTCTGATGGGCTTCCCTTTATGGGTGACCCGACCTTTCTCTCTGGCTGCCCTTAGTATTTTCTCCTTCATTTCAACCCTGGTGAATCTGACGATTATGTGCCTTGGGGTTGCTCTTCTTGACGAATATCTTTGTGGTGTTCTCTGTATTTCCTGGACTTGAATGTTTGCCTGCCTTGCTAGGTTGGGGAAGTTTTCCTGGATAATATCCTGAAGAGTATTTTCCAGCTTGGATTCATTCTCTTCGTCGCATTCGGATACGCCTATCAAACGTAGATTAGGTCTTTTCACATAGTCCCACATTTCTTGGAGACTTTGTTCATTCCTTTTTACCCTTTTTTGTGCAGTCTTGCCTTCCCGTTTTATTTCATTGAGTTGATCTTCGACCTCTGATATCCTTTCTTCTGCTTGGTCCATTCGGCTGTTGATACTTGTGCATGCTTCACGAAGTTCTCGTGTTGCGTTTTTCAGCTCCATCAATTCACTTATATTCCTTTCTATTTTGTCCATTCTTGTTAGCATTTCGTCCAATCTTTTTTCAAGGTTCTTAGTTTCTTTGCATTTGGTTAGAACATGTTCTTTTAGTTCACAGAAGTTTCTTACTACCCACCTTCTGAAGTCTGATTCTGTCATTTCATCACACTCGTTCTCCATCCAACCTTGTTCCCTTGCTGGGGAGGAGTTGTGATCCCTTTTAGGAGGAGAGGTGTTCTGGTTTCGGGTGTTTTCATCCTTTTGGCGCTGGTTTCTTCCCATCTTTAAGGATTTATCCACCTGTCGACTTTGTAGTTGCTGGCTTTCAGATTGGGTCTCAAATCTTTCAGATTGATGTTCTGTTTGTTGATGATGAGGTTATGTCTGTTTCTTGGTTTTCCTTCTGACAGTCTGACCCCCCTGCTGTAGGTCTGCTGAGGTTCACTCCAGGCCCTGCTTGCCTGGGGTTCACCTGCAGCAGCTGCTGAACAGCAAGGGTTGTTACCAGTTTTCTTCTTCTGCTATCTTTGTCCCAGAAGGATACCCGCCTAGTGTCAATCTACTCTCTCTTTTATGAGGTGTCTTTTTGGATATATAGGGGTCAGGGAGCTGCTTGAGGAGACGGTCTCTTCTTTATAGGAGCTCAAATGGTGAGCTGTGAGCTCTGTTGTTATTCATTCAGAGCTGCTGGGCAGGTACTTTTAGGTCTGCTGCAGCAGAACTCATAAACTGCTTTTTGTTCCCAGGTGCTGTGTCTCAGGGATTTAAGGCTTTATTTATGAATTTCCGTTATGCTGCCACCTTCTTTTTTTTTTTTTTTTTTCCTTCAGACCTGCCCAGCCCAGCAAGGAGGCCGCCTAGTCACTGTTGGCCTATAGCAGCTTTGCTGAGCTGCTGTGGGCTCCACCCCGCTGCCAAGTGAACTTCCCTGCAGTCCTGTTTATATGGGTGTAGTTAGAACTGCTTTGGTGATGGTAGCCCGCCTCTGTTGGGGCAGAGTCTCTGTTGTGGCGGGTTGCCTTGGCAACGGCGGGCTGCCTCAGCAATGGCGGGTTGCCTTGGGAACGGCGGGCTGCCTAGGTAATGGCGGACGCCCCTCTCCCACAGAGCTGGACCGTTCTGGGTTCAGCTGCGCTTGCTGTGAGACTCTCAATCCAGAGTTTCTGGTTGCTGTTCTTTTGCGGGGGTGGGGCCAGCCGAGCCTGATCGCCTGGCTCCCTGCCTCAGAGACTTTTTTAAGTTGGTGTTCCAGTCGCCTGTTGAAGAGGCACTGGGGTCTGTTTGTTTTCCCCTGTGGCCACTCACTGCGCTGGCTTAAACAGGGGCACTGAAATTTGTGGCGCTTTTTTTTTTTTTTTTTTTTTTGCCCTGGAATCTTACTGCCTGGTTTCTCTGCTAAGTCCCCTTTTTGAACTGGTGTATGGGCGACTTCCCGTGGCTCCAATCGCCAGCCAAAAGGGCCCCCGACCGGTGTATTTTGTATGGAGAACCGTGGCTCCGGGGCGCCGACAAAGCAGCCCCGCGTGGCAAAGCAGCGGCGCCAGCGCCATCTATTGAAAGGAGGGAGTCCTTTCTCCAAAGCTTATTTTTGTGGATTTTGTTGAAGATCAGATGGTGTTAGGGGTGAGGGTTTACATCTGGGTCCTCTAATCTGTTCCACTGCTCTGTGTGGAATGGGGTCCCTAGCTTTTCAATGAAATTTAACATCGGGAAGTGTGACACACCCGAGGTAGTTTGGATTTCTCAGAATTGCTTTGGAAATTCAGTGTGTTTTGTGGTCCACATGAATTTTAGCATTGCGTATTTACATAGTTTTTTAAAAGGTTGGTCCTATAGTAAAGGTATACAATAGGGGGAATTAGAGTGGGGCATTTTGATTAATGCAGACACAGAGGAATGATAAAATCAGGATATTTAGAGGCTCTATTATCAGAAACAGTTGTTAATTTATTTGTGGTGAAAACATTTGGAATCTCCCAGATTTTGTGAAAAGGGTGTGATGTTGTGTTAACCTCTGGTCACTTGGCTGTAGAACAGCAAGGAACAATTCATTCCTCTCATCTAAGTGTAACTTTGTGTTTATTTCTGACCTCTGCCCATCCCCCTTCTTCCCTCCAACCTTTAGTAACTATTATTGCGCTTTCTAGATCTGTGCAGTGAAGCCTTTTATTTTGGATTCTACATTAGTTTTTCTTTTTCTGCCTGTCTTAGGTCATATACCATGATGTCCTCCAGGTTCAACAGCGTGGCTCCAAATGATGAAATTTCATTCTGGTTTTCTGGCTGAAGACGATTCTATTTGTGTACATCCACCAAGTATGCCTTCATCTACGGATGGGCAGGTAAGTCTATTCTTTGTCTTGGCAATTGTGAATAGTGCTGCAGTCCACATAGGGTGGCAGATGCCTCTTGCATGGACTGATTTCTTTTGCCCTGAAAGTATATTTAGTAGTACACTTGTTAGATGAAGTGGTAGGTATAGGTTAAACTTTTGGAGGAACCTCCCACTGGTTTCTGTAGTATGTATACTGATTAACGTTCTTACCAAATGAGTTCCTCTGTGGAAATTTACACCAGCATTTGTTTCTCTTTTAATGTATTTTATTGCTTTGATAACATCCATATGAATTATAGTGAGATGATGTGTGTTGTTTTGATTTACATCTTGCTCATGATTTGTGATGTTATCTAAGTTTTTAAAACTTGTTTTCAGTGTTACATCTTCTTTGCAGAAATGTCTATGTAGGTTCTTTGGCCCCATTTTGTTTAGTTATTAGTTTCCCTTTTGTGTTTTTGCTAGTAAGTAGTGTTTGTTGCTTAGACATTTGAAGACAACCTTTCATCAGATGTAGGTTTGCCGAAACCTTTCTTGTAAACTTCAGGATAATTTTTTTATTTTATTTATGGATTTTTTAAAAATCTGCTTGGGCACAAACTCTAACGTATGATGCAGTCCCATGTGTGTCTGTTTTCTTGTTGTCCTTTGATGTAGGTGACTGATGAGGAAAAACAGAATCATGACCAAACTAGTCCATCACCTATGAGCTTTTCCCCCTGTATTTTTTATTTTGTTTTGACATACTGTGAGCACAGATCCACATTGACCTAAATATACCCACACCGTATGTCTTCTCATTGGAAGAGTTTGATGCATTCAACTTTTGTTTATGAGTCTCTAATTCATTTTGAGTTAATCCTTGGTCTTTTTACACAATAGGGGTCGTGTTTTACTTACGTAGGGATATCCAGTTTTCAAATCCATTTACTAAACAGATTTCCCCTTCTTCATTGTGTCTTTTGGTGTTCTTTTACAAAACGTGTACACTACCTAGGAATTTGGGTTTGTGATTGAGCTCCCTGATTCTGCCTGTTGATCTGGGTTTCTCGGTTAGTGCCAGTCATCTATTGTTTAGATAACTGGCTTTTTAATATAATTTCAAATGGAGGACAGTGATGCATTCCATGTACTTTGTATTTTCAGGGTTGCTTTGAAATTCAGGGTGTTTGATGGTTCCATGTAAATTTTAGCGTCATTTGTATCCTTTTTTTTTTTTTTAAAGAGATTACCCTAGAGTATATGTATATAACTAGAAGATACAGGGGCCATTTTGATATGGGTACACCTAGCACATTGATCAAATCACAATATTTAGCATCTATGAAGTCCTCTAGGTATTATTTGTCTGTGGAGATGATACTCAGAATCCTTTCCAGCTATTTGGAAAATTCACTACAATATTAATCCTGGCCACCCTGCTGTAGAAGAGAGGGGCAGGACCTGATCTGTTTTCTAAGTTTAACTTTGTACCCATTACCAATCCCCACAGCCTCTGGTAACCACTGTTGAACTTTCTACCTCTGTGAGGTCAAGTGTTTTAGATTTGACATGCATGAGATCATGCAGTATATGCCTTTCTCTGCCTGACTTATTTCATTTAACATAATGTTCCTCAGGTTTTTCAATGTGGCTGCAAGTGAAGAGATTTCACCCATTTCTATGATTGAAGAATATTCTGCTCTGGATGTATGTTACAGTTTCCTCATCCCTTCATCAATGGATGAACAGGTAGGTGCATTTCCTATCTTGGCTATCATGAGTACTGCAGTACAGAGGGCAAGGGAGGTATCTCTTCCACATAGGAATGGAATGATGGCTAGATGAAATGGCATTTTTACTTTGTTTGAGGCACTTCCAGCTGTTTTTCCTAGTGTGTGTAGACATTGACATTCCCACCAATAGTGTATGAGAAGAGTTTTCCCTTCTGAAAGTCTATACTAGTTGTTTCCTTTTAAAACTTTTATTTCTGTTTTAGGTAACATTCATTCTATGTGGATGGAAGCTGTATCTCAGTGCGGTTTTCCTTGACATTCTTGTGAGAATTAGTGCTTTCGAGAGACTTTTCTTTTACCTGTGAGTCAGTTTCACATCTGCTTTGCAGACACGTCTATTCAGGTCCTTTGCCCAGACTTAGCTGGGGTGTTTGTTTTTGTTTCTGTTTTTGTTTCCCCCCACATGGTAGTATTAGTTTCTTGTGCATATTTTATAACGACCCCTTTCAAAGACAGGATTTTCCATAGTTTTCTTTCAGTCTGTGAGGCACCTTCTCTTCTGTTCATTGTTTTCTTTTCACAGCATAAGATCCGATGTTTCCGTAGTTCCACTTGTTTCCATATAAGTGGTGACTTCCGAGTGCAGTTAAAAGCAGTGAAAAAGATTGCCAATCCATGGTGTTATCTATGGCTTTTTTTCTTCTAATTTTTCTTTTTCTTTTTATATTTCACATTTTGCAACTTGTGGGCATAGTCTTCTGAACTATGTGCTTACCCTTTGTTTCCTGAGGGAAGTAAATGGTCTCAAGATTGAGTTTAGGCCTTCAGTGTAATTTACATCGATTTTTGTCCTATTTCACTGTTTTTCATGTGGTTATCCAGTTTGCTGAAAATCATTTATTATTTTCCCATTGTGTCTTTTTGTGTTGTGTTGAAAAATGTGTTCAGTGTACATTCATTTGGGTGGCATGTGGGACTCCCTCATTCTGTCCATTGGGTAGCCTTTCTGTTTTTATGCCAGTGGCAGGTTGTTTGGATAAATATAGGTTTTAGTTGCTTTATCATTATGCCCACTTAGTACCTTTAGTTTCTTGCATATGTTAGATAACAGTTCTTTTCGGATACATGATTTTCTGTAATTTTATCCCAATCTGTAGGGTGCCTTTTCTTTGGGTTCATTGTTTTCTCCTTGTTTATAAATTTTAAAATTGTCCTTTGTCTAACCTGTTTATATTTCCTTTTGTTAGCAGGGATTTCTGTTTCCCATTGGGAAATAAAGTGAGAGAGATGGCAAAAGTGTTGTATTATTTATGGGTGTATTTCTCCTAATTTTTTCTTTCTGCAACTGGTGTGCACAGATTCAAGTTTTCTCAAAATAGACACTCACCCTATGTTTTTTTCCTGAGAGCTTTTTTAGTTTCAGGATTAAACTTAGGTGTTGAGTTGGTTTTGTGTTGATGTTTGTGTCCTTGTGCAACATAAGGGTCTTATTTCAGTCCTCTGCACGTGAATACCCAGGTTTCTCAACCTGGGTGCCGGTGGTGTGTTTCTGAAAAATGTATTTATATAATTTTGGTCTGATTATCTGGCTCCTTCATTTGGTCCATGTGGTTATCTTTCTGTATTTATGCCACTAACTTGCCATAAACAGAAGGCAATTATCATAACTACAGGTTTTAAAACAATTTCTCATATACTACCTAAATCTTATTCCAATTGAAAGCTCTGGTTCTGAAGAAGCTCTATCTTCTTCATAGGACTTCCAGAGAGTTCAAAGCATGTCAGCATCTAAACTAAGAATCAACCTGATACATTCAGAACAATTGGAAGTGAATCCAAACAGGGATGTGATTCAGTGTTTTTAAAATGATTTTTCAGATAGCTCTTAAAACCATTTCATGTTCCACAAGAGATATTGCTTAGGGGTCAAGTCAATAGGTTGTGAAGCAAGAATCAAATTTAAATACCAACCGTAAGTGACTTTGACCAAGTGGATACGGCTCTCTGAGCATAAGGTGTTTTTTTTTTTTGTTTTTTTGTTTTTTTGTTTTTTTTTTTACTTAAAATGAACTAAAAAAAGTACCACATATGGTCTTCAACAAAACCATGTATGCAAAATGTATGTAGCAACTTTACTCAAAATAGCCAAAACCTGGAGGCAACCCAGATGCCTTTTAATAGGTAAATAGTTAAACAAAAACTGAGCTACACCCACAACATGGAATATCCTTCTGCAATAAAAAGGATCAGGGGCCGGGCATGGTGGCTCACGCCTGTAATCCCAGCACTTTGGGAGGCCGAGACAGGTGGATCACGAGGTCAGGAGATTAAGACCAGCCTGACCAAAATGGTGGAACCTCGTCTCTACTAAAAATACAAAATTTAGCCAGGCATGGTGGCAGGTGCCTGTAATTCCAGCTACTCAGGAGGCCGAGGCAGAGAATTACTTGAACCCAAGAGGTGGAGGTTGTAGGGAGCCAAGATCATGCAACTCCACTCCAGCCTGGGTGACAGAGGGAGACTCAGTTTCATAAATAAATAAATGGGATCAAACCATTGATGCACACAACTTGGATGAGTCTCTAGAGAATTACGCTGAAAAAATACAACAGTCTCAAACAGTTGTACACTATGCAATTTATATAACATGCTTGAAACAACAAAATTATGAAAATAGAGAACAGATTAGTTGTTAGCAAGGGGTTAGGGATGGGGAGAGGAGAGGAAAAGGGAAGAAGGAGGTGGATGTGGATATAAAAGAGCAACATGAGAGATCTTCCTGATGTGGTGGTGAATGCACGACCCTACATATGTGATCAAACTGCATAAAAATCAATACATACATAAGTACAAGTGAAATGGGAGACCTGACGACTGGTGGATTGTATTAACATCAGAATGCTGGCCGAGATACTAAACTATAGTTTGCAAGGTGTTGCCACTATGGAAAACTAGTAAAAAGTATAGGGGCATCAATCTGTATTATTTTTTATAACTGCATACAAGTCCACAATTATCTTAAACCTAAAAGTTAACTTAAAAAAAACACCAGCCTCTGAACAATGAGAACACATGGACACAGGGAGGGGAGCACTACACACTGGGGTCAGTTGGGGGGAAATAGGGGAGGGACGGTGGGGGGTGGGAAGCTGGGGAGATATAGCAAGGGGAGAAATGCCAGTTGTAGGTGATGGGGAGGAAGACAGCGAATCACACTGCCACGTGTGTTCCTATGCAACAATTTTGCATGTTCTTCACATGTACCCCAAAACCTAAAATGCAATAAAATAAATAAATGGGAAAAAAAAAAAAAAAAACAAAACACCAGCCTCATAGGGTTTACATGAGAATCAAATGAGATAGCATTTAGGGAAGAAAATTCACTCCTTAAATGTTTATTGATGCCTCTCATCTGTCCTGACAGTGTGAATGCTGAGCATATAGCAGGGAGCAAGGTTCACACTATAGTAGAAATTTTATTCTGGTATAATGTCACACAAAAGCAAATTGATACTTTTTAAATTTGTAATTGAAATTGGCTTAATCACAACCAGTCAGAACAGTACCATGCATCCTGTCCCTTCATGTAATGAAAATATACTCAGAGAGATGGCAAGATATGCCCAGGTACCAGGTAGAACCAGAGGCAGAAATCAAACCCAGAATGAAACCCAGGTTGTGGCTCATCACCTCTAAATTCAGTGCCTTCAACAAAGGAGCTCTCTTCTCTTTGCAGGGTAACCCAGAGAAGACAGCTGAAGTAGAATGTGGACACATCTACTACACCAGGGACAGAGCAACTGTGGGTGATGAGGGCGATGTCTGGTTCCTGGGGAGGAGTCGTGACACTATCAATGACTCTGGGTAGGTGTGGCTGCTGCCAGGCTGACTGTCACCCTCACATGCCTCATGAGATCTTCCTTGCCCAGACAGTCTTTCATGTATTGGTGACAGAACCCTCAGCTCAATTTGAATAGAGCCATGTCTACAGTGCCGTTATCCCAGGTTTTGGTGCACCTCCCTAACCCCTGCATACAGAAGAATCAAAATAAAATTCAAGAGGGTCTGGAAAACATAATAAGACACTGTGCAGTTTAAAGAAGTGTGGGAAATGAGATTAAGAAGGGAGACTCTGTCTTGGTCCCCATAGATCCAGGGAGCTTATTTCATGTTTGTGCTCCTCTAATGCAACACAAGATGTCACAGAACAAACATAGTAATAGTAATCGCTAAATGTTAGTGATTGTTTATGATTTATTATTATGAATCTATTATAAATCTATGAATACAATGAATCTATTGAGATAGATTATTATAAATCTATTATTTATTATAATCCTGTAGCTAACCTGGAGTGCTTAACTATGTGAAAACTGTTCTTAGTGCTTTATATGACTCATCTCTCAATGCTGGAAGGGAGATGCGATTATTATCCCTATTTTACTGAAGAGGAAAGTGGGTGGCTGACCAGTGAGAAAATTTGCCTAAAGTCTCAGAGATAACACAGGGTACAATCCAGATTTGAACTGAGGTAGGCTGGCTCTGAGCCCCTGTCCCTAAGCCCTACATGATTTTTAGAAAGACACATTACACAACAGTAATAATTTCTCTTGGATATTTTAGAGAAATGGATGTGATTTTTTTTTAATTGCTGAAACAGGATGCATTAGAAATTTGCACAGAGAGTAGATTTTAAATGCTCTTGCCACAAAAGAAAAAAAGAAGTAATTATATGAGATAATGGATATACCAGTGTGCTTGAGTGTAGTAATCATGTTACTATGTATATGTACATCAAAATATCATGTTTTATGCCTTAAATATATATAACAGAAGCCAAAAATCATGCTGATAGAATGGGAAATAGTGTGCAGAATTTGCACAAATGTTTAAGACCAAGTTTGAGCCTTCCAAGAGATTTCATGTTTGGCAAAGTTTCTTGGGCCAAGCACCCAGGGGACTAAGCATTGGCCCTCCTCTGTCAGTACAGGCAGTGAGGCGAGAAGCCCTGGGAGC